AACAACCTGTAGGTTCACTTGTTGCGTTCAGACGGGGTGGCACTGTGAAGTGTATCATCGAGAGGAACGTATACTTTTGATTCCCCTGTTCTTTTCTGTTCTTTCTAATTCTAAAATGAAACTCTCTCTTTCTCTCTGTCTCTGTCTTTCTCTCCTGACTTGAAAAAAAACTCCGTCCACCTGTAACATTTCACGATATAAAAATCGAAGCTTTCGTTTCCGGGATGAAACGATAATACCTCCAACGTTGCACGGCACGAAAACCCTTCGGACTGTAGGAAAATAGAAGACTATAAGGAAAAGAGAGCTTGGGGAAAACGGAGGAACTTGGGGGAATAGAAGCATCTGGTGGAAATGCGAGACCGGAGAAGAGGGAAACAGATAGAGCAGCGGTTGCAGAAGGGCTGGAAGGCCCTCAGGTGGAAAGGGTGCACGTCAAATTGGCCGCATAACCGTGCTCCTTTCATTGAATCGTCTAACGACTAGACATAAATTAGATTGGAGAACTGGGAGATGCCACGGGGGCAAGGAAAGAAACGCGGACGATTTTCTGCATCTGGTAGCCTCCTTGAAGATTCGCCGGAACAAGGACAATATGTGACTGGCGGGAATTTTATTTCATTTTTGGCTGACGTTTTTCGATTGAATTCGCCGGCCATTTTTACCTGATTTTTACGAGGCTCTCGCGGCGGCAGGAGGGGAAAAAAATTATTGGAGTCGTTGTTGCCACGATCGGTGAGAGTGGATTCTTTATGGGAATTGCTCGATCGAAAGAGCGTTATCACCGGAAGGGGAGAAAAATTTCACTCGCACGTTTGTTTTATCGTCATACTAATTCTCTGATTTCTTTTATCTATCTGTTAACTTTTATTCGAGAAAGGAGGAAAAATTTTGTTTAAAAAAAGCGAGTTTTGTATTTCAGAATTATCAGTAATTAATTTTTAGTTCATCTCTATGTTGTTGTTATTATTATTAACACAGTGCGAGGATCGTGTTGGAATATGCACGTTGCATGAATCTTCGTATCTGTCGCGATATCACCGTCTTGACTGTGTTTCTATTTCGACATGCGAACTGCGCCGTAAATCCCCGTTTAAGCTGGCGCGGGGCGCGAGTATCGTTGGGAACGCGGCTTGTTAAATCACGGGCGGCGCGAGTCGTGGCAGCATCGCGCGATGCATTTTCAGGCCAGACTGAGAAACTAATTGTAAGCAGCGAAATAAATCTCGCGAGTGGGGGGGGAGGGGGGAGGGGCGGCACGCGCAAAAACTCGCCCCGCAAGGGAATAATGATAACAAACAACGGCCGCGAGTGAGGAGATTAGAGGGGTTGCAGCCGCGTAAATGCGCCTCGGAGAGATTTATGAAAAATAATATTGGCCAGCGATCGGCTCCCCAGCCTTTTCGCTCAACCACCTGGAAGAATCGTACAAGATTCCATTGCTTGTAATTCGATTATTCCTGATTTAACAGGATTTACTCGTTCTTCATTTCTGTTTCGTAATATAATTCACGCGCTCTTACGAGATCACCAATGATCAATGATGATAATGATGATAATAATTTTAGAAACTGTGCGCAAGAATTGCAAATATTAAATAGTATCTAATAACGATATATTACCAGATAGTGATTGTCCATGATATTATAATGGTATCTAATAACGATATATTGCCAGATACTAATTATTCATGATTACTAGAATTAGACATTAATTATTAGTAACATTATTGGTACTAGCCTAATAAATTATCTGTAATGTTGTTAAAAATTGACGACGTTCAAAATTAATCAAGAATAAAATTTTCATCATCAGAGTTGTTGTTCGTAACCAAATATAATTTCTATAATACAATCAACCAGTCATCCATAATAATAATTTATAGTAATTAGAATTTTGAAAAAATTAAGTTTCTACGATCTGAGGTTGAAACAGAAATTCATTTCCTGAACAACTTTTCAAAATCACGAATATGATAATTGTCATGTACTGTATCAAGTATCTCTCATTAGTATTGAGAGAAGCTAACCTTCCTTCAGTAATTCCCCTGGATTTTTTTAACCTGCAGACAAGTTTGATTACTAGGTCGAATAAAGGATAAAGTGAAGGGAGGTAGTCGATGGATTGTAATCTCCAGTGGTTGAAACTTCGTTGTTAACGATGACTACTCGAAATAATCGAGTTAATTAATTAAAGTTATTAATTGCCAACGCACTTCGCGATTCCGAGGGAAATCTCATCGAAAGTAATTTTCCTTCTTCCTTCTTTCGAGTCATTTTTAATTATTTCAATTTCACCGACCGAGAACGTCGTAAGAATAGTTGTTTCACATTCGTGAACTATTTCATGAAAAATATTCTTTGTCGAACCTAACCTAAACGTCGAACATGGCTGCCGATGAACGACGCCATTTTTCGAAATCAAACTGTTTAAAAGCGAAAGTTTCCTGGTGTGGAGAGCGCAATGTGCAGCGGCGAAAGGTGGCAGGAAAGCAGGATTATATTCCGTTACATTCGTCCCTGCTGCTCGAGAAGAGGCTTGAAAATGTACACAAGCCCGTAAGAGGAAGAAGCCGCCATTGCACCCTCGGGAGCGGTAACATCGTTCGAGGCTCGCCTGGATATACTCCAGAATGCTAGAATGTAAATGGCCGTCTTAGCAACTCGATTAATTAAATTGCCTTCTCTCCCTTCTCCTTCCACTGGAATTCTTTAAAAAATCGCGCCGGCTTTTGACCGATTATTGAGAACTGTGAAACTGTGCTTCTCGATTGTACTGTATTCCGAGAAATTAATATTTCTTAGTAGTTAAATTTCTAGCTCGGTCTCCTGACACTCCAGACAAAGGCAAAATAAACAAAACAAACGAGCAAAACGCATTGTTGTCTCGCGTTATGAACTCGCTGGCAGCAGAGATTTCACCGTTTTGTCGTAAAAAAAGGGGGTTTCAGTCTTAAAGGGATTACGCTGAAAGTTAACGCAGACTGGC